TCTTTATTAAAACATTCAGTGTTATGGAAAAGACAGATATTCACAAAATTATAGTCTGTAAGAACTAAAAAGCTATTTTATAATAAAAATAAATGCATCACGTAACAGTAAGAGTAAAAAAAAAACTATAAGGATGGTTGAAAATTAACTAATTTCTGTATCCAAGAAAGTGGCCACGTCAGGTTACAAAAACAAACGACTCGAAACCGAGGACTCGGAAGGTGTACTAATCTTTAAAAGATTAGTAATACTAATTTTATGCGATGTTGCGCATGTGTGGTCAACACAAAATGAATGAATCACTCACTGAGTTGTTTGAAAGTAGCACAATGTCAAATCCGGGGGGAATGTAAACTTATAAATTACTATTAACGTTTCTTATGCAACAATAAACTATGAGTTAACACGTGTGGAGTATTTGTTATTTATCATGGCACATGATAAAAATAATAATAGTGTCATTCGCGCTTGTTACCTGGTTAACACAGTGGAACAAATGAGCCACGAGCCAAGAAGGGAACCACAGAGTTGAGGCTATTGTCAGGCACTGCCCTCTAAAGGATCTTGTGTGTCAGCACATGTAGGTGTCATGTCCAGTGGAGAGTGATTGAGGATTAAAGAGCCCATGGCATGCCCATTTCCAGCCATTTAATGTTTAATCTTGGGTACCTCTAGATTAGCTTTGCACCCATCATAACTCCAAACAGTCTGTATTTATTTCAGAATGCTAAAACTAGAGAGCCTCTTTCTAAAAACGAGAGGATAATTCATGAACACACACACCTCCCTGCTGCCCGTGTTACCTTTAAAGTGAACAGCACAGCGAACCACAATGGCATTAATTAATTAATTTGAATTTATCTTCCATAGATAGGTAAACAGTGGTATATGTACTGATGAAAAGAGATGTGTAACACTCTAAACAAAGCAGATAATTGAGAAACCCCATATTTTAATTGGCATAATGCAGACATTGTAACTTCTCCAGCCTTACAACAAATCTGCTACAGAAACAGCACATTAACAGACATGCAATGTGTGTTTTTTTTAACTTACCGTTAAGTTCTACCAAGTGGTGTAAACATCACTCTCTTTCAAGTAGCTCCAAGGTTGGTAAATCCAACCGGTGATTATTGCATTTTCCCCCAGACAACCACTTAAAGTCCCAAAGTAGTAGAAATTAATTCCAACAGGTACATAAGACTGACAATAACATCATTAGTCATTAATCTGCTTGTTAACACATCACATGCAGCAGACACACTGGCCTCAAGCAGTCAAAACAAACAAGTACTGTGCTCCAGGGTAATCTGGCATTGATGAACTGATCCTTCACCGCCATGCAGTGCTTCACTGGCCAGCTGCTTGTGGGTCAGACCCATTTAGGTAAAACAATGAGTCCCTGTACATGAACATTCCTGGACATGCAGTAACGTCAGGCCCTGTATTTTTCTCCATTTCCTCTGGTCACAGTGCAGGCAGCAGGAGGTAAACTATAGCAACAAAACTACACGCAGTCAAAAAATTCCGCTTTTACAATGGCACTGATGGATGTCATGCAAGCTCACATGAAGTCAAGAATCTTTATTGTCATTATGCATAGCATAACAAAAAAATTTCTGGCAGTGCTCGGCTTAAAAGACAGACATATTATTTACATAACACACCACTATATAAGTCAATAGGAAACAATGAGCAAATAAAAAGGAATGTATGGGACCTACTCAGGTCAGCAGCATGTTAGCAGCAAAAGAGTGTAGTAACATTATAAAGTGCAGCTCAGTGCAAATCTCAGTCTTTAGGAAGAGGTGTGAGGTCCAGTGTTCTGTGTCTGTTCATAGGGGGGAGGTTGTGTGTGTGAGACTAGGGGTTAGGGGGGTGATTGATTTCACAGCTCTGGGGAAGAAGCTCTGTCTCAGTCTGTTTGTTTTAGCCTTTATGTATCTGTACCTTTTCCTGGAGGGAAGAGGCACAAACAGACCATTGCCTTGGTGGGTGGGGTCTGCAGCAATACGTCCGGCCCTCCTCTAGATCCAGTCAGTGTATAGTGAGTCCAGATCCAGAAGAGGACTCCCTATGATGCCCTGAGCTGTTTATGGGACCTAATCAGGTCAGTAGCATGTTAGCAGCAAGAGTGTAGTAACATTATAAGGTGCAGCTCGGTGCAAATCTGAGTCTTTAGGAAGAGGTGTGAGCATGGGTGTGTGTCTGCAGAGGTCCAGTGTAGGATGTGTTCAGAGACCAGGTCAGGTCAGATGTGATGTGGATGCCCAGGAACTTGATGTTATCCACTTGCTCCACCACCTCCCCGTGTATGAGAATAGGAGCATGTTTTGTCTTCCTGGTTCCTGGACCTCCTATAATCCACAATGACCTCTTTAGCCTTGTTGGTGTTCAGGACAAGATTGTTATCTGAACACCACCTTGTCAGGTGCTGGATCTCCTCTCTGTAGTGAGTCTCATCGTCTGAGATGAGACTCACTACGGTGGTGTCGTTTGCGAACTTCACAACTGTATTTGTGGAGTGGATGGGCTAACAGTCATGGGGAAGAGAACTGGGCTGAGCACACAGCCCTGTGGTGTGCCTGTGTTCAGGACCAGTGTGGATGATGTGCAGCTTCCGATTCTCACCACTTGAGGCCTGTTAGGGAGGAAGTCCTTAATCCAATGACATATCATTGCAGGCATTCCCAGATTGTGCAGATGCAGTGCCAGTTTGTCTGGGATTACAGTATTAAATGCCGAACTGATGAAATGACCATTCAAATAAATTCTTAAACTATCATGTAATACTTTATTTTGTTAAAAAAAAGTCTTGCAAGCAAGATTTTGTGGGACTTGTATAAATCTACTTGCATAGAAGTACTAGAACATACGTACAACTCATTTTTTGAGCTTTGCGGCACGTCTAAGATGATAATTCACTGTTGCAACATTGTAGATAAGTCAGAAAACAAGGAAATGCATGTCATATGCTCTTTAAGATTAATATTGCTTTTATTGGCCAAGTATATTACACACACAAGGAATTTGTCTCTGATACAGAACCAGAAGCAACTTGGGGTTCAGTGTCTTGCCTGAGACACATGAACTCAGGAGGACAGGAACTGAACTACCAACCTTCTGGTTGGGGGAATGACCACTCTACCTCCTGAGCCATAGCCGCCCCCTCACCCACTGCTCAAGTTGTTCATAGACCAAAAATAAGCTGTAGGTCCTTATTTCTACCTGTGCCTATTTTGCACCTGTAACCACACACAACAGTGATGTCAAGGTGTACTCACCCATCCTGGAGTACACCTCTATATCACTGCAGTAATGTGAGACATTAAACGTGCTGCTGCTGAGTTGCTCTTTAAGCATAAGCTATTTTAAAAAATGTACCATAAATATATAACCTTTGTTAGGGTGATTTTTATTTTTAGATAGAAATGAATAAAATTAGTTAGGGTTTTTTATTATATAGCATATATAAGTTTATATGTTTTAATCTCATAGTTGTGTTTATGTTTATGTAGTTACATATCCACATATCACCCTATGTGTTCACTGAATCACTGGTCAGTATTTACTGTGTTAGCCAACTGGAGCACTGTTTAACATCAAGGGGGACTGGTTCACTAAAACACTGAATCTCATTAGATTTATAGCTTTGACAAGGAGGGTCCACAGATACTTTATTATCACCACCTGGCTGAAGAGGCCAGGGAATTTGGGGTTACTGGGACACCAAGGGTAATAAACAAGAGGCTAGATCTAAAAGTCAGGAAGGGGAAGACAACTTCAAAGGCAGGGCAATATACAGACACACACAGACAGAGCATTTTTATTGGAACTGGAAAGCAATGCCTAAAGTAGCAGTTAGTTGGAAACAACAGAAACATTTTAAACTAGTTTTTAACTCGAGACCTCCCTCCCCCCAAAAATGGGGCTTCAGGATTAGGCAGTAATGCAGGTGATGCTTTAAGTCCCCTGCCATTCCTTAGTGGTATACAGGTGCATTTTAATAAATTAGAATATCGTGGAAAAGTCCATTTATGTCAGTAATTCAACTCAAATGATGAAACTTGTGTATTATATAAATTCAGTACACACAGGCTGAAGTAGTTTAAGCCGTTGGGTCTTTTAATTGTGATGATTTTGCTCACATTTAACAAAAACCTACCAATTCACTATCTCAATAAATTAGAATACCTCATAAGACCTATAAAAAACATTTTTAGTGAATTGTTGGCTTTCTGGAAAGTATGTTCATTTACTGTATATGTACTCAATACTTGGTAGGGGCTCCTTTTGCTTTAATTACTGCCTCAATTCGGCGTGGCATGGAGGTGATCAGTCTGTGGCACTGCTGAGGTGGTATGGAAGCCCAGGTTTCTTTGACAGTGGCCTTCAGCTCATCTGCATTATTTTGTTTCTCATTTCTCATTTTCCTCTTGACAATACCCCATAGATTCTCTATGGGGTTCAGGTCTGGTGAGTTTGCCGGCCAGTCAAGCACACCAACACCATGGCTATTTAACCAACTTTTGGTGCTTTTGGCAGTGTGGGCAGGTGCCAAATCCTGCTGGAG